TCCGGCTCCGGGCTGAGTCAGGGGCGGGGCGGGGCGGGGCGTGGGGTGGCATAGCGAGGCGCCGGGGGCGGGCAGAGCCCGGGCCCGGCCCCTCCAGCGGGTCCCGGCCCCTCGGGGCTGCTCGGAGCCCTGTAAAAATACCCTCATCCCACCTGGATATTTGGTGCTTTGTGAACACACAACGCAATGCCGGGAACGAAGCGTTTCACCAAAGAAACTGTTCCGCCGGGCCCATTTTACAGATGGGAAAACTGAGTTTTGAGGGGGGTGTTTTGTTCCGCATCGCTGCAGTCGGGGGACTGACTACAGGGTGCTGTCCAGCCATCCTAACTCGTTGGTATCCCGAAGGGAATGACGGGTGCCTGACAAAGGCCTTTTTAATCATTGCAAGCCAGCCTGGGTGACGAATCCGCTAATCGGCCAGAAGAGAGGAAACTTTGCAGAAGCAGGATAAGGGTTTCACAACGCAAAGGGCCGTTCTGTTAGACGCAAGGTTTTTTGGTGATCTCTTTTATTGGACCAGCTGTATAGTTGGGAAGGACGTTAGACAAGCTTTCCGGTACTAAGTGCCCTTCCTTGGCCCACATCTAAAGGATGCTTTGGGTGCATCTACACATCACCTTATGGCAACGTAGTGACGTGCTTTATCCCCACACAGCACACTGCAGCAATCCCGCGGGTCTACACACGATTGCTTGCTACGTCGGTGTAGCAGCGCACTCCTGTTTCTAGCGCACCACAATGGCAGTGGAAGGGGAAATCGAAGTATGCGCCACCCGTATGGCGCAGTACCCACCCATACTGCGCTGTGCTTTAGTACTTCCGGAAGTACACTGAGCTGGTGCATGGGGAGCACTTCCAAAAGGAAGTACTAAAGCATGGTGATGTTCAGACATGCCCTTTGTGCCCGAAAGCGGGTCTAATGTTTCAACTATACAGTTAGTCACCAAAAAGAAAACCTTGTTTCTTGCATATTTCCTCGATCATCACAGCGACGGTAGCAGGCCGCCCCTGCTACACTTTTCTGCTCTAGGCTGTCTTGAGAGCAATTAGCTTAAAAAGCAAACATTGCTGTGTTGACAGGGCCCTTTTTTCTGTTTGGAAGCATGACTTGCGTAGTTTGTTTGTACGCTTATTGGATGGTGGACTGGCTACGTTTTGTCAAATAACTTGAACCTTAAGCATTATTTATTTGAGTCCTGAATCATTGTCTTTGGGATGTTTCCAGGCATGGCTCGACTGGGTTTTGAGGAGAATTAGTTACCATCTGGTGGCCATTTAGTGGCCTGTATGTGACATGATGTGATAGCTTTAGCATACAATGAGATTTCTTGTTGGCAGTCTCAGCAAACAGACTGAGGATTGAAGGAGACTTTGTGAGTGAAGGACACATTTGTCCCTCCGGGTGATCCATTCACATTAAGATGGGAGCAGTAGGATAGGTAGGACTAGTGCTGATAGTGCTGCCCTGCTTTGGGGTGGAGAACAGTGGAGCATCCCAGGCTGAGAAGGTAGTTCCTCCAACACAACAAGCCAGCTTTTAAAAACACAGGCCAACACTGGCCACACACAGAGTGCACTAACTTCTGATAATTACAAAGCTATGGCGAAAAAAAATTACTTTTTCCAAGTTTGGCGGCTATTCCCTCAGTCCTGGCATATCTATAGCTGTCACAGGAGACAGTGGAAGCATTATGTGAACTGATATTATACAGGCAAGTGAAATTATAATATTAAGACGAGGTCTGACGGTCACAAACACAATCTTGCTGGGATAATTTGACCCCAGCTGACTTCCTCCCCTTGGGGCAGGGGGCTGGACCTGATGATCTTGCGAGGTCCCTTCCAGTCCTAATGTCTGTGAAATCTATGAAAACGTGCAACAGGGCACTCCCTCTAGACTGTTTGCCATAGTCACTTGAAATAAGTGCGCATGTGTATTTATGGCAAAGCCAGCATTCAGCATGTCCTTCCACTCTGCAGCTGGTGATCATTTGAGCAGTCACATTGCTTATCACCATCAACACATGTACAATGTCTGTAGATAGGAAGTTCATTAGTGTTATTGGACTGGCTTGAAGTTTCGAAACAGCTGAAGAATGACGGGAAAAAACAGAGTGGTTTGCTTGAAAAGGCTCAGAGAGATGTACATGTTTTTTAAAAATCCACATCAGAAGATACTAAGAATTACTTTGCATCCTGTTACACAATTTTCAAGGCTATATGGTTAAAAATAGGCATGTATGTGCAGGTGATTATTTTTTAAGAAAACTATATTAGGTGAATAATTCATCATGAATTATTTGTTTGATGGGACTGGCTTTCTTCTTTCTCTTCATTTATGAATTGTTCACAAAAAGATTGAATTTCTCAAATTAATTTATTATTCAGGCTCACTTGGATAATTTTGTCAACAGATGCCATTTGCTAATTGTAGATATTTGCAATGCAAACTGTGTAGGTAAATTGCAAGTGTGCTATTGTTTCTTTACTCTGTGATTTAATTCAACATCACAGCACCAAACAGGAATGTAATAACCAAGTGTGCAATTTGAATTTGCAAATATTCTTACCAGCACTGCATGTTTGTGGAAAAGAGCTTAAGTACACAACGTATATGGCCAAATTAAATTTTGCTCTTTAATTCAAAGGAACATTCACAAATCAGTTTTCTTTCACTCTTGTTTTTACAAACTATCCATAATATATCAGGTTAATGTTCTTGTGTATGTAATAACTTAATTGCCAGTTAAAACAAAATGGTTGGAACATTTTCTGCTCCTAAAAGACGATGAAGTTATCCCATTCTGAAATAATAAAAGAAGGATCTAATTTTTAAAATTTTTCTTCTATCATCTCTAATTAGTATGTGAATTTTAATCTTCCTCCATGTGAAGAATTAATAGGTTTAGCCTAGACGCTACAGGTACTCTGGGGACATGCTTGCAATGAGTCCTATTCACATCAGCTCTTTCATTTACAGCTGGAGAGAATGTAAGTAGTTACCTTTGCAGTGGGGAAGTCTAGACTAAGCTGATTTTCCTTTTGGACTTGTTTTGTTTTATTTCCAGCTCCCCATTATTTGATAAATAAACCATTTCAATAAGCCATTTGCATCTACTGTGCTGGTTTTATGTATTTATTCAAAATAAGCTTTTTTTTTTAAACTGTCTCCTACATTTTCCTTCAGTTTCTCCTCCTAGCCTAGTTGGAGACTAAAAAAGGGCATGAAGCTGAACTATACCAATGTACCCAATGGATGCTATCTCAGACCCCGAGAAGGAGTGCTGACTTGGGGGCATCTGGTACGCAGAGATACAGGCCTGTGTCTATCTGCAGGAAACATGCCTGTGTCACAGCTTGCTTAGCATTATGTCACTTCTTTGGATGCACAGCCATGGCAGGGGTTCTTTGAGAATACTATGCACTGGGTTGCAATGGGAGCAGGAGGTTGGTTTCCTCTGTATTGTTGTGGCAGATTCCACTGAGCCTCTTTTTAGCCACGTTCATCTTGGGAAGCAGTGATGTACCTGCATTGTAAGTGGGATACGGTAACTAACTTGTACAAACATTCAGCTAGGTAGGATTTCAGAAGTTCCTGAGCAGGTTAGGAGCTGCTGCAGTCTCATTAACTCCCATTCTTAGGGGCCTAGATCCACAGAATTTTGCAAAGCTAGGCTTTGCATCACTAACTCCCAGACTCCCTGCCACCCAGCGGGATTCAGGGACCTGACATAGGGCCCCAGGCTTCCCAATTCATGGGGAGAGTCAGGTACATAGGAATGGGGTTCCACAAAAATCAGCACTGCTCAGAGTGGGTCTGCCTAAGCCAGTCAGTGGGAAAAACCATCAGGAGAGCCTGATCAGGGCACTGAGGGAATTTAGGCAACAGCTGATGTTGTGTGTATTGTTGCTGTGCTGGCTGTGGATATCGACTTAACATAAGATTTCTTTACCTTCTGGAGTGTAAATTGTAACATACATGGGCAACCTTAGCTTTAAGTTACCAACTTTCAGAACATTTTAATGGAGAATATGCAGGATGTCTGGAGAAAGAGGTTGCTTGTCCCATTCAGAACATCAGACAGTTGTCCTTTGGGAACGCAAATTGTACTGGTGTTTCCAGACAGTTGCATTTCAGACCCATTTTTGCCCAGGATATGGAACTTTGTATTGATGCATAGGGGGCCAGGGAGCAACCTACTATCAGTCAATCTGTGGAGTCCCCATTGAAGTCACTGGAAATTTTGCTTCTGACCCAAGGTGAGATGGGAGACTTTGCAACCAGCCTAGAGCTGATCAGACATTTTTCAACATAACAAAGTTGCATTGACAAATGGTGGGTCACTGAACCAAAAGATTTTGCTTGAAACAACTCAGATCTGGTGAACCGTAGCTGAATTTAAAGCAGAGTCCCAAGCAAATCTTTAGTTTCTTGGCATGTCTGTCCCAAGATCAGGGACTTTGGAAGCATTGCATCCCTGGGCACAGGATGGATGTGCCTGAAATCTAGACAGGGTTTGCTTGGAACCCAACACTGGTGGTAGCTAAAGTTAATCAAATCCAAGAGGTTTAGGAGTACTTCAGGTCCAGTTGCGCTGGAAGGGGCACTGGGAGATTAAACCTATATTGGTTTCAAGGTCTAGACCACAATTAAGTGACACCCTCCCTCCACAGCCCTTGAAATTTTCCATGAGCTGGGAACTCCGGATTTTGGACTGCTCTAAAAGAGACCCCTGTTCACAAACAGCTAATGATTTGTCCTGAATTGTGTTGCATCTCTAACTAGAGCAGTCTTAACAGAATAGAGCAGCATACCTTTGCTATTCACATCTGAAGCCTTATTGTTTCTGAATGGACAGAGCATTATTCCACAAAGAGTTGCATCATTCATTCACAAATAAGTAAACTTTTCTTCCTCGCCTGCTTGCTGCCATG